AAAAAAAAAAAAAAAAAAAAAAAAATTACAGGCCCATTTTGTCAGGTTTCAAATTTGCCAAGGATAGTATGAAACCAAATTCTTCTTGACTATCGCTGTCATTTGATGCAACAATCGTGATGACACAATAGCTAACGTTTATTAAACTCTTAGTGACAGCCTAAAACTCAACTAAGCATTTTCGACGGCTGAACTCATTCACTAAAAGTATACAGCTCTTTAATTTGAATACCAATAGGTTTATGAAAAAACTGTATCTTCTCTTTTTTTTTTTTTTTTGAGATGGAGTCTCGCTCTGTCGCCCATGCTAGAGTACAGCGCCGTGATCTCGGCTCACTGCGACCTCCACCTCCTGGGTACAAGCAATTCTCCTACCTCAGCCTCCCGAATAGCTGGAATTACAGGCCCCCACCATTACACCTGGCTAATTTTTGTATTTTTAGTAGAGATGGGGTTTCACCATGTTGGCCAGGCTGGTCTCAAACTGCTGACCTCGAATGATCCGCCCACCTCAGCATCCCAAAGTGCTGGGATTACAGGCGTGAGCCACTGTGCCCAGCTTCCTCCCTATTTTCCTTATTTCTCCTTGGATTGCCTGAAAATTTCATCTGGGACTGGTACAAGACACATCCTAGTCACTAGGAACCACTGACCGTCCCCTTAGATGCAGATAAACCAACTGGTGCAGTCTGAAACCACTGGCTACGTCACGCAGACAACAAGCAGCAATGCCGGGGCTGGAAAGGAGACCTCCTACCTTCTGGTTTAGTCTTTCTGCATCACACAGTCTCTGGGCAACAGGACTGCAAGCCACTCTCCAGCAGGGGCTGCACGCAGGGTGTGAAGCATGGGATATAGCAGGGGAGGCTAGGGCGTGGGAATACCTGTAGTTGCGTAGCAGCTTGGTTATGAACTGGGGGTCATAGCCATCAGGGCCCTTCTTGTACAGGGAGTTATAGGTGAGCAGCCGCTCCAGCAGCGAGTACCCCAGCCCATGCTTCTGGGTCAGTGGGGAACGCAGCACAGGCCCCAGCTGCCGAGGGTCTCCTGCCAGCACCAGCTGCCCTCCTGGATTGCCTGTCTCCTTTACTTCCATCAGCCCTGGGAAGCGGAAGAGGTGTGGGGAAAAAGGTAAGCGGTGCAACCTCTCTGACCCCACACAGGGTGTACACTTGCAGCCCCACCTGAGTCCCTCACCTGCTATAGCTACCAGACTCTCAGGCTCCATGCAGTGGCCAGCCTCAT